ATTCCAGTGAAATATATTTATGTTTGTGGTTGTAATGTGACAAAATATGGAAAAGTTCAAGGGGTATGAATACTTTTGCAAACCACTGTAAACACCATTGTGTGTCACATTGTTGATATAATATGATGTTTTGTTTTTTTTCCCTCATCTTCCCTTCTGTGGTTTTTAGTTTTTCTGTTAAGGGCTGCACCTCCTCATGATGTCTTCATGAAGATGATCCTTGCTCTGTGCAGGGTCAGTGGCTGCATGACCCAGGGCACCTGTTCTCCTATGTTTGTTCTTCTTCTGAATGGGTGTTCTGAACTGTAACTTAACTGTTACCTAATTTCCCTCTGGGATCAATAAAGTGTTTTTGAATTGTATTGAATTTGAAAATCTAATGGTCTATGGCTGCACTTAGCTGCTAAGTTAAAGGAAGCTAACTGAGTGAAATTCCATGACAAAGACGCTTCCAATGTTCAACTTTAGAAAAAAGTGATCCATCCTGTCTCTCTAGGGCTTTCTCAGGTTGGCAGAATACTAAAGTGTTCAATTAAGTTATGTTTAAGTATCTTTATCGCTTCTATCTGGTTTAGAATAACTCCCAATCGCTCAAACCTGTGTGGGTCAGGATTGCACATGAAGCCATGCTGAAGGTGGGACTTAACCAACTCCAACAATAACAGCCTCAAATGATATATTTTATTTACTACTTTTACTACTGCAACTCCCTACTGTCTGGCCTTCCCAATAGAGTAATCAGCAGCTTTGTGTTTTCTGAGCTTGCTTAGCTGTGGAGATGACCCTGAGAGGTTAATCAGATCCAATCTTTACTTTCTGGAAGTTTTAATACAATTTGTCCTCATTTTTTTGAGATGTCTCGGTGAGACACACAGACAAACCCATTATATCAGTGGGCATTAATAACCAGAAACATTACAAAGTGAAAACACCTGCTTTCTGTTGTAACTACACTAAAGAAATGACAGCACCTTGAGGTGTCCTGGGCTGGGGGTGCTGAAGGAGCAGTGCTCACAGCTGAACTTCTCTCCCGTGTGCTTCCTCAGGTGAACATTCAGGTTGGCTTTGAAGAGAAAACCTTCAGTTAGTCTCGGCTGTTTCGTTTCTCAAATTTAACAGAATTTTCTGCTCAAAACGGTTTCTCTTGAAGTTTCCCCGAGTCTGCGCTTACCTTTGATGGCCGACGCGTAGTCACAGTGCGGACAATGAAAAGGTTTCTCCTGAGTGTGCGTCCGGAGGTGGGAGACCAGCGAGTGTCTGAACTTAAAGATCTTGTGACAGAACTCACAGGCAAAGATCTTCAGCTGGTTGGGGCGTACGCTAGAAGGCAGGAAGAGACTGAATACTTTGACAAGTTAATCAGTTCATGCTACTWCTGCAATAAATGTAATAAAGTAAATCAGGCTGTTAATTGAATCTATGATGCACAAAAAAATCCAGCTAAAACAYATCTTTTCTGCTCGATCAGAAAGARCAATCAGCTAAATTCTACTTTCAAAGCTTCAAAAATTAACTGATATAAAAAATGAATATGTTCTTATTGTACTTGATATTATCTTGTTTGATGGAATATTCCTGGAAGCCTTTGTTGCTTTCTGTTGAGTTTGGATCGGCACTAGGAGCAGAGAAAATAGTGAATCAGGTCACACTGACTCACTTTGCTTTAACAAGTTTAAAAGTACAATTTTTTATAACTCCATCTTAAATCAAGGGATGATCAGAAAGAGATATTTTTCCATCACACTACCTTGGTTCCTGCTCTGTTGTTGTGTTATTTTCAGAGGATGGCCCTCCACTTGCGGGCTGCTAAACAGCAGAAATGAAACAAAAACAGTTGTAGGTAATAGGGCTTTAATGATAACATTAAAATTTTGAGAAAAATTTAAAATTGGGGGAAAAAAATTCCAAAATAATTTAATGACAGAATCATCTCATTATTCATAAAATATACAAAAATATATGTATCTTAGCAAGTAAATGAGAATAAAATACTTTAAAACACAGCTCTTCAAGGATTGTCAGCAGTTTTAACAGACAGCAGACAGATTCATACATGGATGAAAATTATCATTAGTTTTAAACAAAACTGCACTACTGTGAAACTTAAATTAAATATTTTACATCAGAGTCAGAAATGACAGGAAGGTTTCAAACTTTGCCTGTAAGATAAATAGACTATACAAGAACTGAAGAAGAATTGTCTAAATTCACAATTTACAACAGCACATTAACAGAGCGCTTTGCTCTCAGACTGCAGGTTTACTTGTGATTCCTAGAGTTTGTAAAAGTAAAATGGGAGGCAGAGCTTTCTGTTTTAGAAAACCTTTCTACATTCAGGACACGCCTTGTGATGTTTGTTTTGTTTTTTTTTAGGTTTGACTTTGGGTTTTCCTGAGTTATCCTATAGTTATACTGCTTCAGTGATGACTATCTGACACTAGATTCAAACTCTTGCTTCACAGATGACTTTAGTGGAGAAAAAGACTAAAGACGTTCTGCTGCTTAAATCCTGAGGGATTTACATGACTCGTTTAAACTAGTCGGTACAGCTTTTATTGAGGCAAGATGCTTTGTAACCCACCCTACAATTCCAGCAACATAATCTGTATCCCCAAGGACAACTTGTCCCAACTACCTGACTGCATCTATTTACAGAATCAACTGAGGAATCAGTCTTTCCAAACTATTCAATAATTCACACTGCTTTGCAGTTTCCCATTTCTCCACGAGATGTCACTGAGGTTAAGTATAGAATGAGTGAACAGATTATAACTGATGAAGTGGTTCGTGTGCAGTTATTGCTGCCTTTAAACTGTGTTTTTCCTCCTATAGAAACTACACCTGGACCAGTCCTCCTGTGTTTATTTCTTCTCCTTTCAAACCCTGAATGACAGCTCAGCCTGGGCTTGGTTCTGCTGGAGGCCTCTTCCTGTTCAAAGGGAGTCTTTCCTCTCCCATCACTAACATGCTGCTCAGCAGGGAAGGTTGTTACTACTGACTTTACTTGTTGTGCAAGAATGCATTTTAGGAATATTTTTAAATTGTTTTAAAATCACTGCTGAAATTTTTCAAATGATAAACATGTATTTTTATTTGTTTGTGCCGCGTTAACGACAAATTTCTGTTTTATTATGGACAGTCTGTCTGTCTGTCTATCTATCTATCTATCTATCTATCTATCATATTCAACATCAGCTGCTGTTAGACTGTAGCAGGAAGGAGGTCTGAAAGTAAAACTGAGTCATGGCACCTGAACACAATCAAATGTTTTCAGGCTTTAGCATGTCATGGACACTGCTGGCAAGACTTCAGTCATCGCTAGAAAAAACAACAACACTGTGCCAATAATAAAGCATATTTGATCAACACCAGTGTTGGCACTACGCAGCACACTCTACATTATAGGCCTAAATGGTTGCCATATGGGAAATAAAAAAAGCTATATTTTTAAGAAATGGAAGATTTAAACTCCTATTTTTCCAGCTTATTACAGCCGTGCTGTGATGATAATGCTAGCTTGTACCAGAATGGCCTGAAATTACAACATACCAGTGGTATGTTTTGGTTTCACTTTTTGTACAAAGGAAGGAGAAAGAGATTAAAGTTAAAGAAAGACCGTCCATCATTAAACAGAGGTGGGGGCCTCTGTTTTCAGCTGTCCCCCTCCTACAGCGCTATCATTGGC